ACTGCTTCAATTAAAAAAAAATTCAAATAAAAAAAAACTGTCTTCTACATCTTTCATTCTTCATTCTTTAGTTCAATACCTGGTTATCTAATCACAATTCCTTTTTATTTCCTTCAGCACCATTTGCAATAATGCTAAATTGTCAATTTGTCAATTTATTATCTTTCAGCCCTTTTTAAATGTCAATGACATTTTCTAAGTATCTATTTTTTCAAAAAGGACCAAAATAAATTAAAAAGTAGAATATAGAGAACTGTATCGTTTTTTCTTCTAGTGAGTGGAGCAGGAAAAAAGATCCTGCAGTTTCTTATGCAAGGAGGAGAGAAAACATACAATGCACCTTCCGAGAGAGGCACATAATTTTTCTCCAGGGTAGATGACTGCTCAGAAAAACAACACTGCAAGTTGTTTTTGGTATAAAAAGTCAGGGCTTTCTGCAACAAGAAAAATAGACAGCTAATAAAATGTGGAGAAACAAAGAAGAAGAAGAAGGAAAATAGTGAAGAAAGTTTCAGTTCTCAAAGGGTAGGATCGTGAATCTCAGCGATTATCACAAAAGGTGAGGTGATGAGGACATCAGTGTCTGACGACAGCCTGTGAGAGGTCCCAATAGTGGGAATACCTGTGTGACTTAATAATATCCTACCAATAATATTCTAATGATCAATTTGTTACTGCTTTCTATCCTGTACTACCCAAAGTGGTTTAGAAAAACCGGGCTAAATTCAAGAGCTTTGTGGTCATGCTTGATCTGGAGAACCAAAGAAAAAATGATGCCTGTTGTTTACATGTGGTGTGGATGGTGGTTGTTTCTGGGGAAGAGGGGGGAACCGGAGAGAAGAAAGTTTGTCTTTCCTTAGTCTTCGTTTTGATTGTCATTTAATGTTTCCTGTAAAATATTTATCCTCTCTTTCTCTCCCTCCAACAAGCAGTGACTGTCTTCTATGGAAGAGAAATGTCAGTGTCTAATATTTCACTAAGCCTAAGACATAGCAATTCCTTTGGCCTGAAGCCACAATAATCTCAAACTAGACATCTTCTCTTACTCCAGCTGTTCTTCTTCAAAACTAAGGAATTTAGTCAAAACTGAGGTTTGAAATTTATAGGGGAAAAAAATGCCTCGATCTGTAGTTTGCTCTTGGTACATTTTTCAGACTTCTGTCCCATTTATCAGCTCCTAAGCAGGACAACACTGTAGTTTTCTTTTAAAAACAATATAAATACTATCAAAGAAGAATTTTTTTAAAATGTCATAACATGGCAATTCCCAATGAGAAAATGCAAATGGATAATAGATACATTTTTGAAGTTCAACCTCACTGGTAGTTCCAAGTATGATAATCCATTCTTCACTTGCAAAAAAGTCAGAATAAAATAAAAGCTGGAAAGGAAGAGTCTCTTTTACCAAACCTACACTGGCACACATATAGCAAAATGGGAACCCTCAAACTCTACGAGTGGCAGAACAAATTACAGAAAGAAATCATTCTGATGGTGATTTTCTAATAGGAGTCAAATTAAGGTTTAAAAGCATCTCTTGCACTCACCTAGCAATTCACAACTCTTCCTTGACAATTAATATGAGACGTACATTGAAGAAAGCAACCCCAACTTTCTCTCTGCCTGACACAACTTTAGACAGACTTTTCTTTCTGACTCTAGGCCATCATTTCCCTTTTCTTACAGCGTTTACTTTAGAAAACTTGCAATTGTAAATCTTCTCTCTGCCCTTTAAGATATAAATCTTTTTTAAAAGCCTCTTGCCAGCTTTACAATTCAGGAAGAGCTTTCTCAAGGACCCGGGAGCCATCCCTTAGAAATGTCACCATCAGAGGAGACAGCACCCCTACTTCCCAGCTTCATGGGAAGGCAGGAGCCTGTGCCTTGCTCCAAATTATAAAACTACCTCCTGCCACAAAGGTAAGAGAAATTTTACTTTTCCTTTGAGTAAAATCAACTAGCAAACATAGATTGCCTCTGGCCTCCCTCCCACCATGACATTTCAAATTCCTCCTGCCCTTTGTTTCTTGGAGTTGAATTCAGTTCTGGTCTTCCTCTTATGCTGTATACCAGAAATTGACACATTGTAACTGACTATCCAATTAAAAAAAAAAGTGTATATATATATATATATATAGTTCTGGTCTCTCTCCATTATTGTGATAGCTTTAAATAAAGTCAGCCTTGCCTGTTTAACTTTGTCCAGTGCAATTTTTGGTTTAAAAGCATTAAAAAAGCTATGCATTATTGTATTTATTAATGCATTATATTTTTAATTAAAGTTATTTTTATTAATTTATTTATCACAATTTATGATAGCAAAAAGAAAAATATTAAATGTTCAATGATACTAATTGCTTAAATAAATTATAAGTATGGGCAAATAAAATACATCAGAGGAAAAATTTTCCTTTCACAAATCTACACACACAGATTTTTAGGTAAGGAAGCAAAGAAATTTTAAAATGAAAATATCTTGCTTCTGTTCCCATTCTTCTGGCCAGTATCTGTGTGGGCTAATTATGGTTTCAAGTGGGACAATAAAATGAGATAGAACAAATAATATGCAACTAAAATGCAAAAGGAGCACAATGTGACATTAGAAATCTCCCACAGACGCAGAATCCAATGTAACTGATGAATGCAACGTTCTGCAACTATTTACGTGGCAAACTAAGCCACTGAAAAATGAGGTCCTGTCACAGTCTGAACAGATAAGAACTGGCAGAAGAGAAAATCAGGAGTGATGACATGACAGATGCCTTCAATGATTTGAGTATCCCAGGATTAAATAATGCTGCAGCATGATGGTCCTCAAACTTAGCTGCCCACTGGAGTCAACTTGGGGAATATTAAAAATCACTGATGCCTGAGGGTGTAGCCTAGGTGTGGAGACTTTTTAAAGGTCCTAGATGTTTCTAAAGTTGTGCCATCTAATGGCATGTCCATCCTTTCAGCTGTGCAAATCAAAACATTTAAGTCATCATTGACTTCACTCTTTCTCTCATGCCATAAATTCAATTATCAGCAAATCCTGCCAGTGAAACCTTTGAAGTATACCTGGTATCTGATCATCTGCCACCACTTCAATCCTACCTCTGTGGTCTACCACTGTCACCAAGATTCTTGGTGCCCTCCACATATCCCTCTACATTAGCTCACTGTCTCCACGTATATATTGGCCTGACTTCCAGCTTGAGACTCAGCCCGTGGGCTGTATCTGCCCATTGGAGCTGGATTAGTTTCCTTACTCCTTTCATTGCAGAATACCAGGAGTCCCCACTTTGCACAGTCCCCTGGTGACTGAGATTTGATGGTAACATGATTTGATCTCAGTAGTCGTGGACCTGGGCCAAGTGAAGACTGCCTGCACATCGGTCATCACAAGAAGCCGAGGATCCAAGGTCATTTTTGTACCCCAACAAAAATCTTTTACAGCTTTCTTACATCCCCCTGATTGACACCATAACCCACCACTCTCCAGTCCTGAAAGCATGTGATCTTCCAGAATTCATGTTCAATTATCAGCAAAATTATTTACCCATATTTATTCTTCCCTGAATATTCTGAGCATCATCTTACTCTAATTAAATCTTGTCTGTCCCCGAGGATAATGCTTCTCTTACAGCCCTTTAAATTAGGGTTTTCTCCCCCATGACCACCGAAATAGCTTTTTTTCTTTGCAACTTCTGATTCATTTCCTTCCATTCTTCCTAAAATCCTTCTTTTAACTGTCACATAATCATCATGACCCTTCATCATTTTATTAATCCACCAACCACTTGGTTAATTCCCCTCCTTCCTGGCGGATATCAGACCCTGGTTTACTGTCACTCTTTCCAGCTCTAACTCACAACTGTCAGTAATTTCAATGATTTTCCCAATAAATTGTCCTCAAAATTTCTTAACCTCTTCTTTTCTGTGATGTAATCTCCACCCAGTCTCACCTACTCCCATCCCCATCACATCTTCGCCTTTTTATTTAACCAGATTGGATTGTTTGGCCCATCATAAAATGATAACTTTTGACATATATGCCCAATTCCTTACCATCATTCCTGCCTCACTGTACTCACATAGCAAAGGGTCAAACATAGATACATCTCACTCTCATTGTTTCTGCTTGCACAAAACCTAACATGGACAGAAAAAAACACAAAGTTGTGCCATCCAACGGCATGTCCATCCTTTCAGTTGTGCAAATCAAAAACATTTCATTCGTCCTTGACTTCAGTCTTTCTCTCATACTGTAAATTCAATTATCAGCAAATCCTGCCAGTGAAACCTTCAAAGTATATCTGGCATCTGATAATATGCCACCACCTCCATGCTACCTCTGTGGTCTAAACCACCATCATTTCTCACTTTGATTATTGCAATAGCCTCCTCAATGGTTCCCTGCTTCCATCAATTCAGCACACATAGGTATCCTTTTAAAATCCTGTTACTCTTCTACTCAAAACTCTCCAAGAACTTCCACATTCACTCAGTAAAATAAAAGGTCCTCAAGATTGCACACAATTGCTTCTATTATTCTGTCTGACCCCATTCCCTAGGCTGTTCTCCCTTACTTACCCCCCATCAGTCACACCAACTTCTTTGCCATTACTCTAACATGTTGATATGCTCTCACCCCAGGGCCTTTGCACTTGCTGTTCCCTGAGGTTAGAATCCTCTCCCCTAGATATCCATATAATTCTTTCTCTCATTTCCTTCAGGATTTTATCAGATATCATCTTCTCAGTCACTACCTTATTTCAAATGGTAACCTCCCCATCCCAGCACTCCTGATCCCCCTTCCATGCTCCACAACATTTGTAACCATCCATCGCACTATAGGATTTATTTTTGTTTATTCATGCTCTGTCTCCCACTAGTAGGCTTGTCCTCAGGTTTAGTCCCCACATCTTAAAAGCATGGGGTGAAGTGTAGATCTTAGCAACAACTTCTGTCATCTAACAATTAGCCCTGTGTGCATTATTACTTCATTATTAGTTCCTGTGATAACTCTTAAATCACAAGACATGCTATCTGTTCTCTGGAATAGATATACTCAAAAGACTTTCTAAATCTTTGAACTCTTAAAAGAATATTTTTTAACAGTAGCTTGGAAATGTATTGGTATAGTTTCATAGGTATGATAGGCTTGGTCAAATTTCCTAGCTCCTCAGAGGCATTAGAGCAATATCTGAAATTCAAATAATATCCAGAATCTCATGGAGGCTAAATTAATGTGCTGAAATGAAAAAAAAAAGAATGAACTTATTAAGATTTTTCTTCCTAACACTATATACGATTCTATTTCTCTCCTCTCATTGCTCCTTTCCTGTCCCCTCTTCAACTTTCTACTCACTGAAATATTTCAGTTTAAATACCGACACCCAAGCAGGTCTTGTGTTGAATATACTCTTAGCATTAGAAGTGACACTAATTTTAGGTTTCCACATTATTATATCTTTCACTACAATTAATATAATTCAAAGTAGGTATTGAGGATAATGGAAAATAATCACTAGTTAGAAAGAAAGACCTTGGCCCTAAACATCTTCCATCACTGGGTAGGAAGGGTCTCTGCCAAATGAGCTTGAACCCATGCCTCTCCCATCTTACGACTTCATAGGCTCCTTTAATCCAAAAATCTCTAGGAAGTGCCCAGCCTGACTGTGATAAGGTTAAATACTGTTAATCATCCATGAACCCTTTGCATTGAAAATCGCTCTATACTCCCTCAGAGCTCTCCTTGAACAATCCTCTTATGGAGTGCAAAAATATCTGTAAACAAGAAAAAACTGAAAGGTACGTAACTGGTCCTTAAATATTTCTAAGCAACCTAAACTTTTCATTATTTAGCCAGAAATGAACTGGCTTGTTTAACAAAACACCAATGTCACTGTTATAAGAGAATAAAAATGAATTTTATATTGCCTAACATTATACATTTCTCTAATGCCGAACCACAGATGACTTCAGAAGCTAAGAAATAATCGTTCAAACAGAGCAATTTTCTGCATTACTGCTTGACTTTCTGAGAATAGCTAACCTTTTACATAATGGAAAATTGGAAGAAAACAGTATTACTAAATAAGATATTTTCACACCTGGTAATCTGGGGAAGGAAAGAGTTTATGCCTATCATTGAGTAAGACTGCTTCTCATTGCAATATTTTTTTAGTCCCGTTTTATTAAAATACAGGAATAATTCTCTAAAGCCTTCTTTATCAACTATGTCCATCTACTTAATTTTTTTCTATCTTTTCTTTAGCCTTTAAAACAAAATTACAATGTGTTTTATAAAATGACATCCTATTTTAGTTGATTTAACTTGCTATCCTGCAACCTCTTTTTAATTCTTTAACTGGTCTAGAAGAAATCCTCCGTTTAATAAATGTAGCCAACATTCTTTCATTATTCCACTAGAATATGTATTCACTTCTGAGTTTCAGTCATTTCACCAATCATGAGAATTACGCTACAACATATATGCTCCAAGTCGCCACCTCTGAGGAAACTCTGAGTTCTTCAGACATGCTGCCTTCTGCCCCCTTGTCCTGGGTAAGCCCAGAAGCCCTAGTAATAGGAAAGGTAACAAATCCGTAAAGGATGCTTCTGGCTACAGATAATAGGAAATCCAGCTAACTGTGGCCTCAATCATAAGAACAGTAACTGATCACTAAAATGATGTCTGGTTCCAAGATTCATTCAGTGATTATGCAAGGATCCCCTTTAATCAATTGCAGCATCTCACGTTGGAATTTCTTCCTCAGGTTAATGCCATGACGGTCATCACAAGATGAATGCTACCTCTCCAGGATTATGTCCCCATAGTGTGATCCCACAAACAAAGAGGGAGGGGGAAAATGGCTTGTGTCCTCATGAGATTATCTTTGAGGAGAGGGAGCATTTACTTTTACTTTGTATGACTTTTTTCTAGGAAGCGCTGCTGACAAACAGAGCAGGAGGATAACATGGATGTTCAAGTGCATGCTTCTGCCTACAGCAATGTGACTGAAGTCAAGAGAAAAAGCAACAGGTCAACAATGACCAGGGAAAACAGCCAATAGCAGACTCAGGTTAACTCTTTATTTTTAATTCAAAATTTACACATCATCTTAATCTTAGTGACACAAATTCTTTCTAAATCCCTTCTCTAAGCTTTCTTTTAAATGAGATAGTTGTATTTGGCTACACTTCTAGTTACTAGAAATTTACCACCTTTTCTATGTGGATTATCTTATTAATATGCCATCAAACAACAGGGAGGAGAGGTGTCTAATTTCTATGCCAAGCAGGAGGGAAGCACATAATTTACATTTAGTGGAATGCTCTGCTCCATTTTGTCAAGTTCCAACGGTTTTCTTGGCTCACCTCATTTTCACAAAAAAAAAAAAAAAAAAAAAAAAAAGCAGAACATTCCATAATTTTCCATTCTGTCTTTGGTCTAGCCCATACAGTCATAAAGCCCATATACACAGTCAATTGATTTTGGTGACCTCACATATTTTATTTATACTTCTTGCATGGATGCCTGCTCCTCAACCTTAAAACAGCAATCTCCTTTGATTAATACCAAAACCTCAATAAAAATGGCTAGACAAATAAATACACAGGACCTTGCAAAACTGTGGTTGAGTCTTTGTGCAGTCAAAGGATGAACCTTTGAGTTAGGAGCCATTCCACTTCCCAACCCTCCTGCTGCCTTTCTGTTCCCAGTGGATTTTTCTATTGAAAAAAAGAGGGGCTAAAACCTACTTAACAAATACACAGACACATAATTAACATTTTTCAGCGCTAGATGGTACATATATGCTACATAGTACTATAGTGATGAAGGATAACAGAGGGGAGCCGCCTAGATAAAATTCATAGGAGAGGAAGGTCTCTCTGCAAATGTACTGCCTAAGACAAGGGCTGAAGGATAAGAGGAAGACAGACACACACAGGACGAGGGGAAGAGATTTCCGAGGAGAAGAAATATTGTGAGGCAGCAAAGAACTTAGCATGCTCAGAGGACTGACAGGATACCTCCAAGGCTGAAGAACAGGGAACCGAGAGAAGAGTGGAATTGAGATAAAATGGGAAGGATTGGCAGGGGATAGATCATGGTTCAACAGCATTAAGATTTCATTCAAGTAAAATGGGGAAGTCTCTGGATGCTTTCAGATGGAGGTGGGAGGAAAGGGTAAAATTATTATCTAAAACAAATGAATATTATTATTATATTTAATTGTATTATATATAATACACAATACGATCGTGTATTATATATATATATATATATATATATATATATATATATACATTATATAGATGAAATTACTACTTTCAGGGGGATAGATTAAAGAAAGAAAGTTTAGGCTGGATCTTTAGGATAGACTAGGTCCTTACAAGCTTCTAAAAACTCTTTGATAATTCATATACTAGAGTTTGAAGAAGACAATACTGGATAAAAGGATACAGCAGACATCAGGGTGGT